TGTATTCCATGTGTCTATGCTTAAGAAGTATATTCCGGATCCATCTCATGTACTAGAAAAACCACCCGTGAAAATACGGGAAGATTTGAACTACGACGTACAACCGGTGAGGATACTTGACATGCAAGTAAAGAAGCTAAGAAGCAAGAAAGTTCCAATGGTCAAAATCCTTTGGAAGAGTGACCGAGTGGTAGAAGAAACTTGGGAGACTGAAGCCTCAATGAAGGATCAGTATGCATTTCTGGTTGTATAATCGTTGTGAATTTCGGGGACGAAATTCCCGTTAAGGGGGGGTGAACTTGTGACACCGTCCCCAAGCATGTTTACTTTTAGTAAATGATGTAGTAAACCTTGAAAGATGATTTATGAATTTACGTAATTGTTAAATTTTATTATTTCTTTTACGTGAATAGTAAATTGTATGTGGGGCCCACAACGGGAGCGGGGGCCGCACGAAAATTCTTGAACCACATATTATATTCATCTTGGTCTAGATGACATTTATATGGTTGTGGATATTTTATTTGGGCCATAGGAAAGGCGCAGAGTTGACCGGTGGGCAAACGAGGCCCAATTACCGGTATTGGTAATTTAGCGGATAACAGCCCAAAATGCGTGTCGGAGACTCCTAAATTAATGTTGGGGAATGTACATCTATTCTAAAGGCCCATAATTATTAGGAACGAGTGACATATTTTATTTAGCCCGATAAAATAAAATATAATTAAAATGGACCGAGAAATACAACTTTCGGGGCCGATTGTACACATCGGGACATAACGGGATGACCTCCCACCTAAGTGGGGGACACCCCACGTTTTTGTGTGCTCCATTTGACTGAATGGTATCTGGAAGAGACAAGGAAAATGGTCTGGGGTCGAACTATAGGAAGAGGGGATGGATTGAGACCAAACCACATGTCCTACACATTGACTTCCCATTTGATTGAGGAGAGTTGTCTCCTATCATTTCTCATCCTCAATCATACGACCAAGGCAAGGAGAGGAGCTCATGAGAAGACCCTCACAAAGCTCATAGCTTGAAGTAAGCAAGGAGTAAAGGAAATCCAACTCAAAAAGGCTAGAAATTAAGGTAAGAACTCAAATAGTTCTTTTAACTAGTTTTTGTAGTATGATTTTTAAGAAATCATATGGTGGATTAAACATGAAGTTCTACACGTTTAAAAGTGTAGAATATGGATATAAAGTGGTGATATTTAACTTAGAGGAGTTGGTGAATCGATAGGAGTCGAAATCACCGGAAACCGCCACTTTAAGGGAGTTGCTCGTATCTGCAGAACACGAAAGCCGCCCGGCTTTTGTGAAAGCCGTCCGGCTTTGGCCCAGTAGTCCAGATTTTCACTTTCAATCGGCCTAGAACGGGGATTGATCGAGGGGCTTAACAAGGGCAACTATTGTAGCACATCACGAGGTGAGGATGGCTGGCTATATTGCTTATAATTAGTGAGTTAATTTCATAAGATTACCTAAGGTAATTAAATGGGATTTTCATGGATTATTAATGATTAATAATGCCCAAATGAAAATAATATTGATATGAGTAAGTGAAGCATGATATACAAATTTAGAATAATTGTGTATGATTATGTGAAATGAATGGAACGGCATGTTAATGGAATTAACTATGATGACATTGTGATAAAATATACTTTTACTTCATGTATGAAATTCATGAATGGATTAAAGTGATATTTTTGATATCGGGATCAAACTATACTTGGGTTGGAAAATCAATTGAAATGAAATGTCAATTGGGAAATATGAACTTGGCATGTTCTAAGATTATCCAACTAGTATCAAATACTAGTCGGGGGATTAATATAAATAAATGATGAAATAAATCCTAAGAGGTAGGATTGTGAATAGATATGCCTTAAGTAGTCTCAAGAGATACTTTAAGGTTGAATTGTATGAACACTAAGGGTGTGTTAGGGGTAAGCCTTAAGGCTACCCAAGGGAATTGATTCTAGGCATAGGATTTGCTTTAGAATTGGATTATGAAAATAATTAGAGTTGGACTCTAGGATGATATGGAAATGTAGTTGGGCCGAGCCCTTGCCATGTAATATGATTAGCATGGAAACGTAGTTGGGCCGAGCCCTTGCCACGTATTTGTGATCTTCGTGGAAACGTAGTTGGGCCGAGCCCTTGCCACGAAGTTATGGTTGGTATGGAAACGTAGTTGGGCCGAGCCCTTGCCATACAATTCTGATGTGTTATATTGAGTTAGAGGATTGTATAGAAATGTAGTTGGGCCGAGCCCTTGCTATACAATTGGGGCTCGATGGGACCCCACGGGGTTATCGTGACTTGCGGTCACGGGGGAATGGAAATGATGAATTCTAAATGAATATGGGCCCACGGGCCGACTACTTGACTTCATATAAAGTAAGTATGATTTAAATAGGCAAAAAGGGGTAACCGAGGGTTATGGCCTATTGTAATAGCCGAGATTAATTTAAGAGGATTAATAGTACTACTCATACCAACAAGATGCATCTCCTTTTAAGGGAGCTCATCACCAAGAACTCCAAAGTTAAGCGTGCTTGCACGGGAGTAGTCTTGGGATGGGTGACCCCCTGGGAAGTTTCTCAGGGTGCGCACGAGTGAGGACAAAGTGCGCGGAAAAGGCTAGTGGAGGTTTGTGAGGACAGTACTAGAGGTCAGAAGTAACTACCTCGGGGCCTACGGGGCCGGGGTGTTACAAATGGTATCAGAGCAACCCTGCGACAGTGTGATGATCCGTTGGATATCGGACGGGCACTTAGCAGGGGAAAAGATTCTGGGATATGATTGAGATTGATTTATGGGCGCAACGAGGACGTTGCGTTCCTAAGTGGGGGTGATTGTAATACCCGAGATTAATTTAAGAGGATTAATAGTACTACTCATACCAACAAGATGCATCTCCTTTTAAGGGAGCTCATCACCAAGAACTCCAAAGTTAAGCGTGCTTGCACGGGAGTAGTCTTGGGATGGGTGACCCCCTGGGAAGTTTCTCAGGGTGCGCACGAGTGAGGACAAAGTGCGCGGAAAAGGCTAGTGGAGGTTTGTGAGGACAGTACTAGAGGTCAGAAGTAACTACCTCGGGGCCTACGGGGCCGGGGTGTTACACCTATAATGTAATATCACCCTGAATTGAGGGTCTTAGAAATTTAAACATTGATTATACTTAGTATAGTTGCTATTGTACTTGTCAAATGTTTCCAAGTACTGACCTCCCCTTCACGGGGGGTACAGTATGGATGAGTCGGACTGCGGTTGACTATTCGTACCGTACGGGGGGTTGTTGACATGTCCGGGTAGGTCTGGGGTGTGACACTATTCGTCTTCTTTTGATCCCGTAGCCAATTCTAGAACTCTTTTGTCTTCAAAACTTTGTCTTTAACACCTCACTTATCTCCAATGCTCCTAATCAACTCTAAAATGCTTCTCAACTCGTCCCTATTGCTTCTCAAACACTGGTGGTGTCAGGCTCAAATTCCCTGATTTTGACTCCAAAAATACCAAAACTCGAACCAACGGCCGGTAAATATGACTTGAGCTTAAAATTGAGACTTATGACACCTTAAAGTTAGGGAAAACTATCAAAAGCCGATCTCAACACGCATCAACGTCCAACACAGACCGCTAAACGGCTACTGTATATATGCCTCACTGCCCGCCGTCGACATGGGTCCTTGGTTAGTGAATCAACTAAGACTCTTCAGCTCTTCTCTCTGAGTCTCGTTCTTGAAGTCTCTTAATACTTTTACAAGTACAAGTTTGCCTTGTGTTTTGAATAAGTTTGCATTTTAAAATTTATCCTTTTGAATATTACAAACATTATATCGTGGACTTTGAATATGCTTTTTTTCATAAGGCGATTTTTATTCAATTTATCTGATTTTAAAAGTGATTTGTACATAGTAAATATTTTTCGTCTGGGGCCTCCAAAATGCTCAAGCCACCTCTGGTGGAAGCACGGGTACTACTACTCGATTTCAACATACAAAAATTGTGGGAAAAATAATAAAACTTGGGAGAGGAAGATGTGCGTGAAAACAGCGTTGGAGAAAAAAATACGGTGATGAATCGGAGAATAAAAGCTGGTCAAAAGAGAACTACGTTGTTTTTTTAACAACGAAAATTTAATTATCATTAATCAAATCATGATGAAGTGCATGAATAATAGAATCAGGCGGATTATAATGCCAAATACAGTGATCAGACAAAGAACATGCCACCCTAGCCAAAGCGTGAGCAACATTATTCGCAGACCGCCTCACATGCGAGAAGGAAATACTAGAAAAATGCCTACTCAAAATAATAATGTCTTCAACCAAAAGTCCTCTGGTCGAGATGCTCGACCTCTTGAGAATCTCTGTAATAGCTTGCACCGAGTCCGATTCGACATCAATGAAATTCCACTCTTGTTCCTTTAGCCAACGAAGAGCCTCACGTATACCCATCAATTCCCGCTCTACCGGGTACTCCCTCCCGGCTTCGGACATGCCCCACCTGCCAAAAACTCCCCATGGTCATCCCCGAGCACCCAACCTAGCCCACACCTTGAATCTGTCAAGGAGGCATCAACATTAACTTTTACTATCCCGGAGCACCCAACCTAACCCACACCTTGAATCGTGCCACAGAATTAGAGGAGGCAGAATACTCTCCTCTTTGGAGTGCTTTAGACCATCCTTCAAAGTACGCTTTGGTACGTTGTTTTTAATAAAAGAAATGGTATAGTATTGGGATCGTTACAACGTTCACATTCACACATGTGTGGATCCCGTGTAATTTGAGTTGGGTGGAGGAGTAGCGTGGAACCCATCTGGTCCGACAAGCCCAATAAATTGCCCCTAAACGTCACCCCGCTCGTCATCACCTCCGATGGCCCACCACATGTTCAGACAAATCTAACCAGTTGAGTAAGAGATTACGTTTACGACCTTTTAGACTCGTACTATAAAAGGAAAGGAATGCCATTCTGGATACGAAGACATCATTGGATTAACACTAAAAAAAGCCATACTTTCTGAAGATAATGGATACCTTCAATAATGAGCTCTCTTTCTTGTTCTTATCAGCATCTCTGTTTCTTCCATTGCTCTTCTTCTTCGTTCTCTCCAAATCATTCTCATCCAAATCCACTAGTAAAATCCCAACATCATACCCTCTGGTCGGTTCCTACTTTTCACTTTTGAAAAACAGAGACCGCCGGGTTCAATGGCTTTCCGATGCCGTCAACAGCTCCCCCAATCTGACCTTCACTCTAAACCGCCCTGGGTTCTCCCTAGTTTCCACTGCAAACCCCTCAAATGTGCAGCATATCCTCAAGACCCGTTTCTCTACTTACCCGAAAGGGAATTTTTCGCAAGCCAATTTAGCTGATTTTCTCGGCGACGGAATCTTCAACGTCGACGGAGAGAAGTGGAAGTTCCAGAGGAAGGTCGCGAGCCACGAGTTCAACACGAACTCCCTCCGGAATTTCGTCGAGACCGTCGTCGATACAGAGCTCTCCGACCGGTTGATTCCCATTCTGTCCTCTGCTGCTCGGGAAAAAACGGTTCTTGATTTTCAGGACATTCTTCAAAGATTCGCTTTTGATAATATCTGCAAGATATCTTTCGGGTATGATCCCGGGTATCTCTTGCCGTCTTTACCGGAGACGAGATTCGCTGTGGCATTCGAAGAAGCTGTTATGATCAGCAGCGCAAGATTTGAAGCGATTACCCCTCTGCTCTGGAAATTGAAGCGCTTTTTAAACATTGGGTCCGAGCGGAAGCTCCGGATTGCGGTGAAAGATGTGCGGGAGTTCGCGAAGAAGATCGTTAAGGAAAAGAAGAAGGAGCTGGACGAGAAGTCAACTCTGGACTCTGTTGACCTTCTGTCCCGATTCTTGAGCTCCGGCCACTCGGAGGAGAGCTTCGTGACAGATATCGTCATAAGCTTCATACTCGCCGGCCGGGACACGACGTCCGCCGCTTTGACTTGGTTTTTCTGGTTGGTTTCCCGGCATCCGGAAGTTGAGGAAGAAATTTTGAAGGAGGGGAGGTCGACGTCTGAGGAGACGGTGTACGAGGAGGTGAAAGACATGGTTTACACACAGGCCGCCCTTTGTGAGACGATGAGGCTTTACCCGCCGGTCCCGGTGGACTCAAAGTCGGCCGCGGAGGATGACGTTTTGCCGGACGGGACAGCCGTGAAGAAGGGGTGGAGGGTGGGTTACAATCCGTACGCGATGGGGAGGGCGGAGGAGCTATGGGGTAAGGACTGGGCAGAGTTCCGCCCTGAGCGGTGGCTGAAGAGGGACGAAGGCGGGAATTTGAGCTTCATGGGGAAAGACCCGTATGTATATCCGGTGTTTCAAGCAGGGCCGAGGGTTTGTTTGGGGAAAGAAATGGCTTTCTTGCAAATGAAGAGGGTTGTCGCCGGCGTTTTGAGGCAGTTCAAGGTGGTGCCGGTGGCAGAGAAAGGCGTCGACCCCGTCTTCATATCATATCTGACCTCAAAGATGAAGGGCGGTTTTCCGGTAATGATTGAGGAGAGGTCCACTGCACCTTAATACGGAGTACTAATTTGATTTGATATGTTAAACCGCTTCTACCTATGTTTTTCACGCTTTTTGTGTGTTTTATTAAAGTATTAGTATAACCATTTTCGGTATGTTTTTTGTTTTATTTGGACCTAGCTGCATAATTCCAGAAACAACTATATGAGTAGGACGAAAACGATTTAATTATGAGAATAGACTAAAAGTCACTTACTTTACTCAAATAGTAACAAAAAATAAACTATATTTTCATAAAACTAATTATGTGTGTCCCGTAAAAATATACTTTTATAGCTATTGAAATGTTTTAATTCATAATAAAATAATAAAAATAATAAAAATTCGTAAAAAATACTAAAAAATTAATAAAAATGTTTCAATAATTATATTAATTTATTTATTTTTCAAAAAATTAAATAAATTTTTTTATAAAAAATTGAAAACTCAAAAAATAAAAAATTCACCGCAGCCTCAACACCACCACCTCCAGTCACCAGGGGGAAATGCCAAATTCATTACGAATGTCATAATTATGTCAGAAAACGATGAAAATGTTGTTATTCTCAAAGAGAAATATTCCATTTTTTGCATATTCAGAAAAAATGGAAATATTTAAGAAAAAAGGCATTTTTTCACCCGTCGGAGGTGGTGCAAGAAGGTAGTACAGACAGTGGGAAAGGCATCCATATTTTTTTAATTTTTTTTATGGAATTTTACTATTTTTTATTTATTTTTTAATTTATAATTTTTTAAAAATTTTTTATTTTATAAATATTTTATAAATTTTTTAATTATTTTCTACGAATTTTTTAAAAAAATCGAATTTATTATGAATTAAACATTTAATTATGATATTGACTATTTTTAACTCATATTTAAAAGAAGGGTAAGAATGGAATGAAAAAATATGTACATTTCCAATAGGACTAATATGATCCTATTTTGATAAAAACAACATATCGAAGTCTTATTTTGAATTTTTGCCATAATTTTAGTTTTATTTGAACTGATTTCTAATTTTATCATCTTTTCTTCTTGAACGCATTTTTTTAACCATACCACTTCCATCCCAAGAATATATCTTGGGCCTTACCATATGTTAACAACTCAATGAAACATACGTACCATATCCTTTCACTTATTTCCTTAGGGGTGGACTCGCTTCGGACCACCCGTCCGTGACCCGGCCCGGCTCATTTGTGCAGGCCCGGAACCACCCGGTCGGGCGGTCCGGGACCGGACGTAGACCTGAACCGGTGGGTTAAGCGGTTGCGGGCTTGGTTCCTATAAAACGTGACCCGGCCCGGGTCCGGGTCACAACGGTTATATTTTAAAAAAAAAGAAGAAGAAAAATTGTTTGGGCCAAATGACCGTTGGGGGTGGGCTGGGGACAACCCAAACGGCTATATAGCCATTGGGTGGGCTGCAGGGGGTCCGGGCGTTTTGGGGGGTGGGGGTGCGGGTGGGGTGGGGGTGGGGTAAAAAAACTTATAAATACTCCTAATTTTAAACATTTTTCCATATCACTTCTACAACTCTTCCTAAATCCTACTCTTAACTCTCTACTCTCTAATTATCTTCATCTTCTAAAATTCTCTTATTCTCCAATATATTATATTTATATATCTACTTTATATTAATTATCTACTTATAATTTATAAATACATACATTATATTACTTATATTTCTTATCTAATTATATATTACTTATACATTTATTATATCTATTAATATAGTTGGAATTATATCTAATTAATTTGAAGTCATTCTATTACTCTCATGCGAAAGACCGAAAGTCCGAAAGAGGTACGAAATCATTCTATTATTTACACTAGTTTAATTTTGTATTAACATTACTTGGAAAAAAACTAGTTAATTCTCATTATAGTTAAAGTTAAACTATAATAATTTGATTGTTAGAAAAAAATAGGTAGTACAAAAAACTAGTTGATTAGTTTTCACACGAATTGTTTAATTTTTCATTAAAGTAGTTAATTACTTTATTACAATTTTTTATTAATTGCTACCTTTGACTCTAGTTTAAGAAACTAGTTAATTCTCATTATAGTTAAAGTTAAACTATAATAATTTGATTGTTAGTAAAAAAAATAGGTAGTACCAAAAACTAGTTGATTAGTTAATTAGTTTTCACACGAATTGTTTAATTTTTCATTAAAGTAGTTAATTACTTTATTACAATTTTTTATTAATTGCTACCTTTGACTCTAGTTTAAAAAACTAGTTAATTCTCATTATAGTTAAAGTTAAACTATATTAATTTGATTGTTAGCAAAAAAATAGGTAGTACAAAAAACTAGTTAATTGTTAATTTTGACTATTTATTAAACAATAGTATTGCTATAAACTTTGGTTCAATTCACATCTTTTTACTTCACATTTCACTCGAATTTTATAAATAAATAATAGTTAGAATTTTATTTGATTAAAGTAAACTTTTTAGATTGAAGTATTATTTAAAATAGTTTTAATTACTCATTATTAATATATTTGTTGCAATTTAATATTTGTTACATTTTTTAGATGGATTGCGAGGAAGATATGGGTAACCTCGAGCACAACCGAACGAAACAGCTTGCGAGGAAGAGATCCCGCAAAGGTAAATCACATATCGGCTCTTCATCTCAAAGTCGAGATGATTTTGATACGGGTTACTCAAGGATGGATGGGGATGCGATGACCGACGAACAACTAGAACAAGAATTGCACCGACATAATAGCCGCTTTTTTCAAGACCAAACGAGGATCATTGGCGGAGAAGAGCTCGAGGACGACGATGTGGAGGAAGTAATTCCGGAGGGCCACGACGACGACAAGGAGGAGGGTGGCGGCAGCCACGACGCCGACGAGTCTGCCTCATCCCAAACCGGTACGAAAAAAGTAAATTTGAACTAATGGCTAATAATTTTTCTAAGTGGAAAGACCCGAACACCGGGAATTGGACCGCAACTTGCAATTGGTGCAAGAAAAATTATAGCTTGAGGATTTCCGGCGGATACGGATCCGCCACAAGGCATCTTAAGGCCAAACACCCGGTGGAGTATGCAAAATTAGGCGGCAGAACGGGGAAGCAAACTCAAATATCGAGGTTTGCAAATAACCAACAAGCTTATGGTAATTTCTCATACAATGATGCACAAAATTTGACTGGTATGGCTAACTTACTTGTTGAAGAAAATTTGTCTTATTTGTTTTCTGAAAGTCTTGCTTTTCGTGATTGTGCACAAACTTGTTTAAATCCTCAATATAGAGGTTATAGTCGCAAAATGGTTAAGAAAGAAATTTCAAGACTTTATGGTGCGGAAAAGGTAAGGTTACAAAATTATTTTGCAAACTTTGATGGGCGTGTTACTGTATGTTCTAACATATGGGAGGATACTTATCATAATTTACATTATTTGGGTCTAACTGTACATTATATTGATAATGATTGACATATGCATAAACGTGTTCTTGCTTTTCGTGAATTTAATGATCGTCACACCGCTGAACATATTTATATTTTGATTGGCGTATTTTAATTGAGTATAATCTAATGAATAAGGTGTTTGCTATTGGTTTTGATAATGCTACTAATAATACTGCTGCTATTCCTAGATTGCGTGAATTGTGTGGTTCTACTTCTTTAATGAGTAGATTTTTTCATCAACGATGTGCATGTCATGTTATAAATTTATGTGTGCAAGATGGTCTAAAAGCGATGGGAGCATCTTTGGAGATAGTCAAGGGGGGATTTGACGTATTTGGGGTAATGGACAACTTAGAAAAAATGGCATGATTATTTGATAGAAAGAAGTGAGAAATATGTGGCTTTTCCTAAAGATTTGTCTATTCGTTGAAATAGTACTTATAAGTTAATTGCAGTTCTTCTTAGATATGAACAACATTTTCCTGCTTTTATGAAAAAATTCATAAAAAATTTGTAATGCTTTGATATATTTTAATGATGCAACTGAAACTTTTAGTCATGTTTATAAACCTACCTCAAACCAATTTATTCGTGAAGTTGTTAATTTCGCCGGTGCTTTTTCAAATTTTGAGAATGCTGATTATGTGAGTTATTTTGCTAGTTTTATGAAGGAAAAGTTTTCAAAATATTATTCACATATTCCGCATATTTATGGTATTGCATTTGTTCTCGATCCTCGTTTTAGAGTTTAGACTTGATTCTTTAGAAGAATGTTTGAATTATTATTATGCTGCTTTTTTGATCCAATGTCGATGTATGAGGACAACCCAATTGATCCGAAAAAGGAATACAACGAGGTTAGTGATATATTTTATGCATTATTTAATGAGTTTCATGCACAATATGGCAACGCGCCCCTCCCCCGACACAAACATCTTCATCTAAAGGAAAATCAATTTTGAAATCAACATTTGCCAATCTTATTAATGACCTACTACTCAACAAAGCACAATTAATGACCCGGGCAGGTGGCCCGGCCCGAACAAGAACCGTCCAGACCTCAGGCCGGTCCCGGGCCCATGAATACTAATCGGCGGCCCGACCCGGCCTAGGCTCGATTCGGACCCGAACCGACCCGAGTCCTAGTGGACTGCAACGACGTCGGTCTATGTTGTTTTCTTCTTACACATGCTCCTGAGTCCTGAAGCTCTGCTGTCTAAGAACATGCTATTTGCAGGCACAATGAAGTCAGTATGAAATAAAGATGAAATACATCAAGTTGGAAATCCAACAATAAAAACATAAATCTAAGGCACAGGTGGTTGCAGATTACGAATCTATGATCGTGTTAAAATTTTAATTTTGTTGAAGCGCATTTTCATGAAAAACCTGCAAATTTTAGTAAAAAATTAGTAAAATTAGGGTTGGACTCGGGCCGGGTGGCCCGACCCGGAACCGGCCCAGGACCGGTACTGTTCTGGCCCGGCCCGTACCGGTGGCCCGGTCAGTGACCAGTCCAGGTAGGCCCAACCCGGTGGGTTTCCGATCCGGGCTCGGGTCACCCATAACAAGGCCCAGCCCGGCCTGATTCGGGCCAAATTTATTTATTTTTTGGTTTTATTCATTTGTTTGGGCTCCACCGGGTTGGGCTTGATGTTTAGGAGGGGTTTGGGGGAGTGGGGTGTGCGGGTTCAGGGAAGGGTTGCTAAGCAAAAAAAAAAAAAAAACCGACGCCCAGACCGGTCTGGACCCAGACCGGTCCCGGTGGCTACCCAGGCCAGTTCCGGGTCCAGCTATATAGAACCGCCGGCCCAGACCCGACCCAGCCCGAGTCCAACCATAAGTAAAATACATTAGAAATTCAAGATATTTTATATTCAAGATTGATAATTTGCTATGATTGAAGCCCTATATCTATATATTCTGTATTCCAATTCTTACCATTGGTAATTACGTAGTATTAACTACCAATCTTCTTATCCTATTCTACACTTTATTCAAATTTAAAAATAACAATATTCTTTCCAAAACATAAATCCCAGGTATATGAGCATATCCTAACCGGGAACCAAACTCCACAATGTATCCGAACATTACATGAATAAAATGAAACCTGAAGTTACAAAATCCAGTGTTGTAAAGGACAATAACAGAGGAACCCACATTAACACACATCAAGTGATCAAGATTTCATTTGTCTGGCTGCAATTCTGCATTGTGCTTGCAAAATTCTCCCTACGCCCATCCGTCATACTAAGCGTAAAACCCTAATAACCATAATTGGCTCCATAAACAGAAGCGTAATCTGATCCAGGCACATGTCCTGTGTGACCACCAGGGGCATTTGTTGGTGGTGAATTGTATACAGCTCCTCCATGAGAAGGGTAGGTGTTGTTGTAACCTTGTGTAGGTGCTCCGCCAGTAGAATTCTGCATACTGCTTGTGACATCAGCAACAAAATTCTGCAAGTACGATTACACCAACTACATCACTTTACCAATAATTTGTTTCAATGCACTTGTGCAATTGATTTAAGACGAAAAAGAATGACAATTCAAATGCTTTTTTTGCTAAAATGGGTGAGGAATGGTGGTACAGATACAGCTACCTTTACTTTGAGATGTTTCCTCGGTTTTCTATCATCACCTCAAATAGTAATAAATGAAAAAAAGGAGTATTTAGTTCGGGTAAAAGAGCAGATACATTGTTGATAAAAAAGAGGGTGTTATTAGTACATGTATTTTGACAATTAAAAACAAAGAGGCTATTATTTTTCTTTAATTTATTTAAATATATTCTTTTAGGGTCACATTCAGAAAAATTGGTAATTTCAGCCGGAACATTAGCGGCTTCAAATTCAACCATGTCCACCTTGTTGAGACTTGCCAAATGGGCTACAAAACATCATATTCTTTTATGTTGGTCACATGATCACAAGCCAAAGCAGTAAGCAAACATTAAATTTTTATTGGTACAAAACACGATAATGTGCAAATACCTGAATTAACTGCTGGGCTGTTTGAACCTGTGAAGCAGTCCCATTTATTTCAACAGTCATCTCGCCTGGAACACCTCTTGTTTCTTGTATGGCTATAGTTGCACCACTGGTGCGCCTGATGTAGCTAATGTTAGAACCAGATGCCCCAATCACAGCATCAGCATACGATAAGGGAATTTGCATGTTTTGTGTGACCTTAAAAACCAAAAGCAGCAAGGAAAGATTGTGAGAGAAAATCACACAAAACAACAATTGACACCAAATAGTGCATGGAACCAAAACTCAGGTTGTTTCTTTAGGGCATGTTGGGGAATTGGGTTTTGGAGGGGAGGGGATGTTTAAACAAGGGTTAATGGCCCTCCCTTTCATGTTTGGAAGTTAAAAAATATGGAGGGGATGGTTTTGAAGGGCTTTTGTTACCCTCCAAAACCCTTCAAATGCTCAATTTTCAAGTTCCCCCAAATTGGGGGAATTTGAAGGATAACAAATTAAATCACAACTTTAGCTCAATTTAAAATAATATAAACTCAATTATTTGAATTCGTCATATATGTGAAGTGATTTTAATTATAATTCATCCAAAGCCTTTATCTTTTCAAACTTGATACTCCCAAACAAGAAGAAGGGTTTCCAACCCTTTCCCTCCCCTTCCCTTCCAACGACTAACCTTCAAAACCTTCCCCTCCCCTTCCCTTCAAACTCCCAAGCATACCCTTAGTGATTCCGGTTTGCTTCTTACTACTTGAATACATTAACAAAGATGAATCTTCACAATGCTGATATTGATGATGTTGACTAGAATTTTCACAAGGATATTCATAAGTCTTAATAAATCCTCTATGAATTTCAAGTGCTTAGAAATATTTTAGTTCATAGCCATCTAGTATAGTTTAAAAATGTGTAGATTGATTATCTCTAACAGGTTCAAGTTTCCCAAATTAAGGGAAGTACAAGTTTTGGTTGAACATCACTCATTTGGTTGATGGAGAGGAACTATCTTTACATTCCTTTGAAAATCCAAAATTGTAATATAAGTACTTCCTTATAAAGAAAACAAGAGTAATAATACAGAATCTAACCTTTGCGATCATTGATTGTTGTGGCTGCATATTTGTTGCATGACCTCCAATGGGTGCATCTCTATCATAACCAGGCACAGATTGACGTGGTTGTTTGTCCAAAGGAGCCATATCTCCTTGTGGGTAGTAATTGTCATATGGACGAGGAGGGGGCATATATTGATTGCCAGGTCCAAAGCCAGGTCCACCGCCAGGAAAACCAGAATGAGGGGGTCCCCAAGATGGTCCTGGACCAGGTGGGGGCATGTTTTGGTTGGGACGTGGATTAGGCATTTTCATCTGAACAAAACAAACATTTAAGATTAACAGGAAGATATATAAACATTATAACACATTAATTTACCTCTTTTTGAATCAAGTAATATGAAATTATTAAATAAATAACAGAGCTGTAGAGTTACCTGCATTTCAAATACACTTATAACACCACGATCAACCAAAAATTTCCGTAGGTGAGTGGCAATCATTTCCACTGCTTTGTGAACTCCAGCTGACTCCCCCTGTACCTCTACAACACTATCATCCGGAAGTGCAAAAACAGGCAGGTGCTCTGCAAGTATGTTTCGTATACATTATCTCTTAAGAATGGGTACACAACACAAACTTATTCTGATGAAAAGGTAGAGGTCATATTGGAAACATCATTGATGCATGGATAAATAACAAGTTTGTCATGGCAGCTAAGCGAGGCACAGTGCCAGCTACCGCGTTATCACCTAGGGAGTTCAGGTAAGACCAGGAATGGTGGAACTCCTACACTGCCAGGACACCTAGTCAGCGACGTGATAACAATGAAAAATAATGAAGAAATGCAATTAAGTGTTCGAAAAACAAACTAAGGAATGTGATACAACATGCACAAAGCAAGGAATAGCATTTAAGAGTCTTGCATTTCAAGCTGACATGTAAATAATTGTATGTTGGTAAAAATACATTAAATTTGATGTTTTACAGAATGTTATACATTTTCCCTCTATCCACTACGTTTGTTATATACCACCATGGTTAGCAAGATTTGTATGGCTCAAACGCATCCTGTCCCAAATTTAGTGGGACGGAACAATTAGTATACCTCCCTTCTTTGTCCCTGTTTTAAAGGTTCCAAATTGATCATTAATATATTTATATACATACGGAGTACTACTTAAAAATGCGAACTGATAATTCAAAAATACAACTAAACACAAACCTAACAACACCCATTTTATTATAGTTTATATGTTAGATTTCATGAATAGAAAGCAGATATGGGGAATTCATTGACCTTGATATGGTTGTTAGGTTGCAGAGGGTAACCATTAAAAGTGAGTTCATTGACCTTGATATGAGGGCTTCAGGTTGATCATTAATATAATTATTATATATATTAAACTACGTATATGTGTACTGTTATAGTTCTATGAAAACTGATATTTCAAAAATACACCTTGAGGAATGAGGCTGATCTAATCAAATCGATTATATCTGTTCATAAAATCAGTTTATATAAACAAATATAT